GATTTAGGTAAAATGTAAACTGATTAGCTTAGTCGACTAGGCTACTTGTTCTAACGCGAACTTGTTACGCTATTTTCGCCCAACTTTGATGTTGGTTATCTTCTAAACTAGTTGAGTCTCAGTGATCAAACTTATACCACAATTACAACAACTATAAGTACTTATGACAGAAATTTGATTGATTTTGGTTCAGTCCCTTTTGTGATATAAGATCTCGAAAATGGCGGAAATCGGATAATCCACCATATTTATGGACATATAAAGAAAAAAGGATTTAAGACTTTCATAACCCAAACTTGAGATTTAGACTGTCTCATATGCCAACTTTAAAATACAAAAAATATTAAAACTGAGTAGGCCTAATTACTTTTTCTTATGAAAATATTGCAGGGAAAATAACATTTTCAACGCTGACATCTTTTTTTACGTTTTAGCATTTTACATGCTAGACAACATATTTATGTCATTTATTAGCCTATATATCAATTTTAAGCCCATTTCTTGCTGAATATTTTGGTTTTTAATTTGTCCTGATATCTTAAAAAATAAAAAAGCTATTAAATATTTAGTAAACGTTGATTTTCGTAAAAAAACACTCGTTTTGCTCAAACAAAAATGGCCGCCAAAAAAATTTGGAGAAAAAATTTGTTTAACACTTGCGTAACAGTTCTATTGATACAGTTAACATTTTATGAAAGTTTCATAAAATTTAAAGGGTACAGTTTCTTAACTGGGCTATGCTCATCCCAATGGATGAAATGTGCAGGAGGCTGACCTGCTGCCTGGTCCACGAAGTGCTCACGCTGGGAGAGCCTCAGTACCTCAGCGAGAGGCTTAAGTACAGGGGGGAGATCTGCCTGCGTGGTACTCGTTCCGACCGCAGGCTTCACTTTCCTAAAGTGAGGCTTGAGGTTGGAAGAAAGTCATTTTCTTATTTTGGCCCGCAGTTGTATAATGGCCTCCCTCAGGACATAAAGAGCTCCAAATCGTATGGCTCATTCAGGGCCGCAATGCAGAAAAACAAATGTAAATTGTAAATGTTTTTTTTTTGTAGTTATTTTGTATATTATATTTCTGTATATTAGGTTAGTTTAGTTTTAGTTTGACTTGAGTAAGTTTGAAAATCATTTATATGAAACTCACTTGTAAATAAAGGTCTTTTTATTTATTTATTTATACTCATATCGACTAAAACCATCGAATTGAAAATATTGATTAATAAACAATATTTTTAAATATTTCTATTATAAAACTTAACTATCATAACCTAACCTAACCAACCAAACTTGCTGATGGTGAAAAAATCGCATGAAGGTTTACTGATTGAATCGATAGTTTCAATCGATATTAGCATAGCCCAGTTAAGAAACTGTACCCAATTTAAAAATGTTGAGCAACTATGCCTGTATGACTTTAACCCTAGCAGTGGCCAATGCTAGAAGTGGGGAATGGCCAACCCATTTTGGCGATTTTGCAGACCTTTTTTTAAAAATCTGTCAAAATTACAAATATGGACTCAACCTATCAATGTTTGTATTCATTTTATTCAGAAAAAGCAGGAGAATCTGAATATATAAATGAAAATTGAATCTAAGTTGGTAACTTTTTTGCAAAATAAAAAAAATCATAAAAAATTCAAAAATTCTGATTGAAATTTCAAAAGTAAAGTCTTGTTATTATTACGGTACAGTATAATTTTTAGACTAAAGCCATTATATACATTTTGTAGTAAATTCAATTCCCTACATAGAAATGTATAACACATGGGGGAAATATTTTTTTTACAAATGTTATGTAAGAAAATGAAGAAAATTCAAATTTTGTCGCATAAGACGAATAATTAGTAACTCGGAGATAACTCATGTAAGGTAATTAGTGATAATAATATAGTACACATATTCTTGCAGGTTATAAACTAAGGAATACAAATATGTCACATTGTAGGCAGTAAAAAATTTTGATTACCCGTTTATGATACAAAAAACCAAAAATTTACCGTTTACATAGAAAAAAATTCAAAGACATTTTGTAAAAAATTTTTGTACAGATTTTTGTAGGCCAAACATATTATAAAAATGTTATAGTACATTCAATTCTCTTTATAGAAATGTATAATGTTGGGGGAAATATTTTTATTTAGCCTACATGTGTTATGTAAGAAAATACGAAAAATCGCAAAGTTTGTCACGTAAGACAAATAATTAGTAACTCGGAGATAACTCATGTAAGGTAATTAGTGATAATAATATAGTACACATATTCTTGTAAGTTATAAACTAAACAAATATGTCACATTGTAGGCAGTAAAAAATTTTTGATTACCCGTTTATGATACAAAAAAAATAAAAATTTACCGTTTATGTAAAAAAAATTCAGATAGGCCCTATTAGACTTTCCAGTTTATATTCATGCATAAAGATTACTGCTAGGCCTAAAACACAAAAACATTACTAACAAAAACACTACATAACTACAAAATCCTAAATTAGAATGATTCCCAAGATATTCGCCGAACAATATTTACTTTCAAAACATAAGTCAGCTGATCCGCACAAAACAAACAGAGTAACTTGGTCAGATGGCAATTGTCTTTTGTTGCTGACAGAACACAGAAATTACAGTGAGGAGGGCTGCCATTTCTCAACACTAAATTATTCTACGTTTCCTAGGCTACAAAAGGATATTATATTTGAATAGTTATAAATATTCCATTATATATATATTTCGACTTTAGAAATGGTCCTTGCGGGACCATTGGCCATTTGTTAATTTTTGTAAAGTTACGCGTTTTCTAAAAATCATATGTTCTTTGCTATCCATGTATTGATAAAATAATCTATGCCAAAATATTCAGCAACCCTACTGCTATCTAGTGGTATAACTCGCATCCAGATCTAGGGAACAAACTAACCTCGCTATGATTTTCTAAACTTTACGGGAAATTGTTTAGATGGGGGTGACCAAGCGTTCTATAGTAAGTTATACATCATTAGAAACTAGATTTTTACCTGAAAATAATAGTGCAAAAATTTTTCTGCTGCCACAAAAACTGAATTTACTACGATTTTTTATATTACTGTAATGCATCTTGTCCGCTGGTCTCTGTCGCCATAACCTTACTGTGAATTGACAAAGAGGACAAGGAGGTAGAGGCATTTATAAATTCAACTGAGCGTTGATTATGAACTACTTCAGTTCTTATTTAGACATGTGAGGTGGGTAGGTTGGGTGTTATGCGGACTCGTGACTGTATTAAGTGTTTTGAAGGTAGGTTAGATTAGGAAGGTAAAGTTTAGGTTATAATGAATCGAGTTGTTGATTTATATTATCTCCAGACTGTTTATGCACTTTGTTAAAAGTACTACTAACAGAATAAATAATAATTTCAAAAATGCGCAGCATTTTTTAAATAATTATTTATTGTGTTTGTAGTACTTTTTACAAAGTGCATAAACAGTCTGGGGATAATATAAATCAACAACTCGATTCATTATAACCTAAACTTTAACTTCCCTAATCTAACCTACCTTCAAAGGACTTAATACAGTCACGAGTCCACATAACATCCAACCTACCAACCTCACATGTCTTTTTCAACTTATAAACAAATTTTAAACTGTACGAGAAATTTGGTTAGGTTAGGTTAGGTTAGAATAGTGTCAATTTGTTGTTTATTCATTTTATTAAAACTGCCACTACACTAAATACTTATGGGACATAACGGTTACATGGTCAAAACCTAAGCTAAGCCATTCGGTTAAGTGAAGAGAAGAACTAAATAAATTCATTCTTCAATGTTCATAATCCAGTCACCAGATCCAGATTAAATATGTCCGAACTAGAGGTGTTTATTAATGTTAATTAATTTTAATCAAATAATACATAAGTAATAGCCTACTTAAATTAACATAATAACCTTTCTAAGTGTGGGTTGTGAGGGTAATATTACATTAAAATGGCATATAATCAATCAATAAAAATGTGAATAGTGCTATTAACTTCGATTATACAGTGTAAACATTGTAGTGCAGATTCAATGTTCCTAATAAAACATTAAATTAAACTTCAAAAAATCGTAGTAAATTCAGTTTTTGTGGCAGCAGAAAGATTTTTGCACCATTATTTTCAGGTAAAAATCTAGTTTCTAATGATATATAACTTACTATAGAACGCTTGGTCACCCTCATCTAAATAATTACCACTTTACGTGCTTAGTGTGCTTACGCAACACTACAAGTGGAAGTAGATTCGCGCGTAAATTTTCATTCAAATTTAAATTGCAATTACGTTGACATATTGACGCTAGAAGGTTCGTTTATATAATAAAATGAAAGTTTAGAATGTCATCTTTCGAATGGTATATGAACTATCCACTTTAAAGATAATTATCAATTAGTTTTTAGCGTTAAAAAATGTTTGGACTTAAATGGTCCCGGAGGGACCATGGCCATTCTAAGGGTGCACGGTGAAATGGTCCGGCCAGGACCATTGGCCACTTCTAGGGTTAAATGGATTGACCCATGTGCATCCCTGAAGAGGAAATGAATCCATTTCATATAAATTAAGAGCAAGAAAAGTATAAAAACCTGACAACCACGTCGCTGATGCGATACCAGTGGGAATTCTCCAAGTATCAAGTAGGCTAATATAGGCCTAAGCTAGGCCTAGGCTCTAGCCTTCGCCTTTTAGTTCATGCTCGTCAGTTAGAATGGTAATAGTTTTCAAAAACATAGTTTGTTTGAGCTTGGAATGTTTTTACCTCACTTAATAAACACATAACTATTTAAAGGATGACATTTGAGGTACAAACATAATAGGCCTATGCCTCAACTGTGTTTGAAAGGCAACAAGTATTAAAAGTAAATTTGACTAAGAAATTACAGTGACCGGTTGTTTTAAGCTGTATATTAAATGGTTTGGCATTTACAAGTCACCAAAATTGTAAGGAATTTGTTGACAACATCGTTCAAAATAGTTTACGCAACAGAAAAGTGACATACCTTAGTAAAGAACAGAAGTGGTGTAGATGTAGTAGTACAGTAGATGAACTTCCAACAATAATGTTCCAAATACGTAGCTTATAACCAACCAGAGCAAATAATACGTTAGGGGTCCCGTCTTTCAACCATTTCAATATTCAAACTAGAACGTTATTGCAAAAATGTGTTTTCAAAGTGCAAAATTGAACGAGTTTTCTTTAAGCATGTTCACACACGAATTACAAGGCTGCCTAATTAAAATATTTAGTAAGTTAATAAGTTTTGAAACAAAACAGATAATGACAAAAAGCTTTCACTTGACACAGTCAGTAATCGTATTCGTAGTCCTCTCCTCACTCCGACTCCACTCCTCAGACCTCCCCTCCTATCATCCTATCCTAAGCCTATTAAGCCACCATCCACCATACAATAAAAACAATACCATTGACTATAGTCAATGACAATACATAAGAAAATGTTTCAATCATATCGTTGGCATGCCGGCCCAAAACGAAGTGACTATTCGCACGTCAAAATACTCCACAGCACAGCCCGTTCCCGTTCCAGCTCCAGTTCCAGACTTCAGTTATTACAAAATAAATAATTAATTATTATGAAATTATTTATACCTATTTTGTTACTTTATGTAGATTTTTCATCTGATTGTATTAATTTTAATTTTCCGCTGAATTCTACCATCTATGCTTGTCTTTATAAATTGGCTGCTGCCGTTGGAAATAAATAAATGTAGTATAAAATAATAATAAATAAATAATAATAGAAAGTTCGGACCAATAAATAATAATAATAAATAAATAAATAAAAGTACTAAAACCCAATATAATACGGCAAAAAAACTGCACTCACAACTGATTTCATCGTGCAAAAAAGAACACTACAAAAACAAAATCATGAAATCACAGAATATAAGTAAGGAGTCATGGAGGATAGTCCATGGACTTACCCGGGACACGATAACTCACAACAACATAATACTCAAGGAACAAAAGGACATTGTAGACAACCCTGTTGCAATAGCTAATGCCTTCAACAAGTATTTTTATGAGGAAGTGGCAAATTTACTAGGAACAAATGATTCAGCAAATAAAGCAGCTACTGGAAGTGGGAAACCTCGCTTTCATATGAAACTTAAACCAACGAGTGAAGATGAGATAGCTGGAAATTATAAAGAAACTTTGTATTAAGCCTAGTGCTGGTATTGACGGCATACCCTGCCACGTTTTAAAATCATCTGTGTCAGTTTGGCTAAACCACTATCGCTTATAATAAACAAATCCTTCAATGAAGGCAAGTTCCCAGATAGGATAAAAACATCGAAAATAGTCCCCATCCACAAAAAAAAAATGAGAAAGATGTAGTGGGTAACTATCGACCCATAGCCGTACAATCTGTGTTCTCAAAAATTTTTGAGGTAGCTTTTCTACGCAGGCTGATCCCATACTTAGAACAACATGACATCCTATCAAATAGTCAATTGATGTAGATTTTTGTGGGCTTCACTCACCTTTATTTTTGTTTGTGATGTCCGGGACTCGTCAAAACACATAAACACACATATATACAACACAAAATCGTCCGGCATCAAGGTCCGACGTTTCGCGGAACTCAAAACAACGTTCCGCTTCTTCAGGGTATTAATAAACTATTTTTAGCCCGCACGCGGGTCGAACGCCTAACCACGACTGATTAACAATAAGTTTTTTGCAGTTGAAAAAATAAGTTTCAATACGAGCTGTAACTGTTTTACAACAATTTTAAAATTGTTTTACAATCAGTTTTTTGAAGTTTAAAAAAATTAGTTTTAATACAAGTTGTAAACTGTTTACAACAATTTTAAAATTGTTTAGTAATCAGTTTTTGGCAGTTTAAAAAATAAGATTTAATACAAGTTGTAACTGTTTTACAACAATTTTAAAATGATATATTTTTAAATTATATTGAGTTTTAGGTACCTCAGCTAACCTCTATGACTTAAAACTAGAGTTTTTCCTTTTTTTCAAAAAATAACATTTTTATTACTGTTTATTTAACCACTTTACATTGATATTTTGTATAATCCATAATGCTCATATGTGATAAATTTTAGAGATATTTTGAATTTTATTTACCCGTATTGATGTCTATTGATTTATATTTACATCTAACATATTAAAAAAAATTCTCTATTGATATCAATGAACGATTTGTTTGCTCTAATGATCTATATTGATATATTTTATGTTTATAGATGTCTAGTGATATGTATTGACTAAGTTTTCAGTGATGTCTATTTGTTTGTATTTACTTGTAATGATATCCATGAACATCTATTGATATCACTAAGCATCTAGTGATATCAATAGATTTTTTCTATTGATTTCTATTGATGTCTTCCACTAGGACAGTCAATTACTTAAAATCAATGATCAGAATATACAACCAAGCAATAGCGTAAAATACATTGGAATCCATATTAGCAGTAACTTAAGGTGGTTTGACCATATCAACAAAATTGCCAATAGACTAACGGTCGTGTGTTGCCTTATAAGAAGACTGATAAACATAGTTGAAAGAGATGTCCTATTGAAAGTTTACTATGGCTGATTCCACAGTGTACTTTGCTATGGAATTGCATTCTGGGGAAACTGTAGTGAAGCAAATAGAATCTTTCTACTACAAAAACGTGTTTTAAGAATTATCTGTAAAACCCACTTCATTGAGCACTGCGAACCTTTATTCAAGGAACTTCAAATACTTACCCTGCCATCAGCATATATATTGGAATCAGCCTTAAATGTTCTTAAATTTCCCGATTTTTTCCCAAGAAATAATGAAGTACATAGGTACAGCACAAGACAAAAAAATAGTATCCATATCAACCATTGCAGAACTACACTAGCACAGACTAGCCCTCAATATTGGGGAAGCAAAATTTTCAATAAATTACCACAAGAAATAAGATTTTGTGAAGATCAAGCTAAATTCAAGAAAATGCTGAAATGTTTCTATTAAATAAAGTCTATTATTCAGTAGAAGAATTCCTTGAAGAGTGAAGGCTGACAACTACCAATGACGACCACGGCTGAAAACCCATGTAGCACAGATGGTTGGGCCAACGTTGGTAAATTGTGGAGCCACACAGTTGGCCAACGGTAGAAATGTCACCTCTTTAAACTGTTTTCCAGCCAACCATTGTCCAACAATGGCCCAACCATCCAAAAATACTGATGGCCAACTAACCATAACACAACTGATATCCAACCAACTGTTTTATTTCACACAAAATAATAAAGATTTAGTACGAAAAGCATAATTATTAGTTGAGTAAATTGATTAAATAGTTCATAAAAACAAATTTTGAAAAAAAGCTAGAACAAAATTTTTTGGCCCAGACGGGTCTCGAACCCGGGTCCTTCGACTTATGAGCCTCTTACCTTACCACTGAGCTATCTGTGATTGTTGATATAGAGAGTTTTCAAGTGGTGAAAGAGTAGCCGACAGTTGCAATGGTCGCAATACTTCAAACATTTTTGATACTACACAGTATAATATGATTCTGTTAATCTATTAAGGCATCATAAGTAGTTATTTTTTTTTTTTGAGTTAGAGAGGATACTGGTATTTGAATATAGATTAATTAATTACCGTTAGATTATTAATGCTATTATAATTGACTGTTATATGATTAATTACTCTTTCCCCTTAATTGTTGCAAATAAGTTAAAGAATATTAATTTAAAAAATGTTTGCATTATTATAATTATTAAAATTTATTGTTGTAGCCCCGGAACTGTAATATATAAAATATCTGGTTTTACAATACCTTTATCAGTTCCAAAAACTTTTGGAAACTTTTGGAACTGATAAAGGTATTGTAAAACCAGATATTTTATTATAATTATGTTGTGAAAGCTAGACCCAGAGAATGAAAGTCGTATAAACTCAACTATGGACCATCATTGGTCCAACAAAAGTATCTTTTGTTGGTCCAACGGAGTGAAAAACGGTTGGACAACGGTTGGCTTGATGTATGATACCCAGCAATGCATATTAATGTATTTCATTAACAATGAACCAATGTTGGTCCACAGTTGTAAATATTGGTTGGCCCAACTACGAGATATACAGTTGGACAACGGTTGGTTGGTTGTGGAAGCTCCAACCAACCATCGACCAACTGTCCCACAGTTGGCCAACGTTGGCCCAACCATCTGTGCTACATGGGAAGTTTCCAGTGGGATAAATACAAGAAACATACAATACACATAAATACAAGAAACTGATATCAAATTGCTTTCAAAGTTTAGAGGCCAAAAGTGGCATAGTGTTTAAATCGTACGACATGTCTAAGGCCTTTGACACAGTGGCTCATGATCTCCTTGTGGATAAGCTTTCTTGCTATAACCTTGATGCAGTTTTGGTTAGGTTCTTTCAATCTTATCTCAGTGACATATGGCAAAAAGTCTATCTAAACGGCACTTATTCTAGCCCTGTTTGAGTGCCCCACTGAGTGCCCCAAGGCTCTATATTGGGCCCTACCCTGTTTATACTGTATATAAATGACTTACCTTGTAATATTAATGACTTATTTGTAAAAAGCTTTCTTTTTGCCGATGACTTGGCCTTGTGTGTACGGGGTAACTCTTTGAATGACGTTACAGATACATTGGATACAAAATCTGCTGTTATTAATGACTGGTGTAATGCAAACAAGTTATGTCTTAATGCTGATAAGACTCAAGACCTAACTATTAGTCATAGCAGTAATGGTAATGATGTAAACACTCTGAAGTTTTTGGGTTTTCACTTGCAGTCAAACTTTAAGTGGTTTTCACATGTAGATTTTGTAGCTTCTAAAATTGTAAAAGGCATATTTATGATAAACGAGCACTTAGGTCCACTGTTTCAGTTGATGTCCTTTTTTGTATATATTATGGCCACATTCATAGCTATTTGTCCTATGGTACCTCACTGTGGGCCAACAGTTTTTATGCTAACAGGTTGCTCTTTACTTTACAAAAGAAGGCGGTGAGGTTAATTTGTAGTGTGAATAGAAGAACACATTGTAAGCCCCTTTTTGTGAGTCTTAACATTCTCACATTTCCATCTTTGTAAGTTTTGGCAAGTTTGTTGTATTTAAAAGAAAATATTTCTCACTTTGAAAAGATATCTGATGTGCAAAACTACTGTACTAGATCAAAAGATAATCTGTCTACACTAAGGCATAAGTATACAGCCACTCAAAATAGTTTTGAGTACCAAGGTGTTAAAATGTACAATTTCTTGCCTGCATCCATCAAAAACCTGTGTGTTTTAAAATTCAAACATGTTTTAAAAACTACCCTAACCCAGGCTTGCCTGTATAAACATGAAGAGTACTTTGGTTTAGAGTTTTAGATATTTTAGTTGCCAGAGCCATCTTGATTGTTTTGTTTTTATTTTGACGATTGTCATGAACTTTGTACATAGTTTTAACGACAATAAATCATTTCATTTCATTTCGTAACGAGACGATGTGTTTCCAGCGGTGGTCGTGGGAGTTGATAGCGCATCGGACTAGAGAGTGTTCAGTAGGTCTCTTGGGTTCGAAACCCGCCGGGGACACAAACTTTTTTTTCAAAGATTTTGCTTTATTTGATTTTTATCTTATATCTTTTTTATATTATCAGCAAGTTTGGTTGGTTATGTTAGTTTATGATGGTTTAATTTTATAATATAAATGTTAAAATTGATTGTATAATTAAAAATTATAAGTAAACACTAGTTTTATTTTTATCATATCTATTTTTTTATATCATCAGTAAGTTTGGTTGGTTAGGTTAGGTTATGACGGTTTAATTTTAAAATTAAAAAGTTCATTTTATAACTAAAATTATAAAATTAATTTAAATTTTTCAACTTAGTGGTTCTAGCGGCGAACGCTGACACTATGTTAGCCATCGTCCCTCCCGTTTGCCCCACCGCCATATTAACCATTTCAGTTTCAGCAATAATTAGCATTATATACGTTTAAAAACATAAATAAAACAGTCAAGAGGCGGTCGGAGTCAGCCACGCGGGCCGCCTGCCCTTCCACCGTTTTAACATGGAAGGAACTCTTAAATTATTTAATATTGGCTATGCGTGAAATTTTAAAATTAAATTAAAACGGTACAACCAAATAAATAGTATTTACCAACAAGTTAATGTAGAAAAATGTAGTATTTACTTTGTACTGAATCTAAAAACAGTAAAAACAAATTATTATTTTCCCATAAGAAACACTTACTTTTAGGGTGACTTTGTTGACGTTTTAAATTGACGTACAAGCTGAATATTAATGATTATTCGATAAAAAGTACACTCATACTATTGCAACTGTCTCTATTATTTACTTTAGTAACTTTAACGGTGTTTAGTATTTATACTAGGCATTTTAAAATGTGTTTGCATTTGCAATGAAAAATACGGGGCGCAGTAGTTCGGCCGCTACCCTGTAGATAGGGTTGGCGTCGCTCGCCAACCTTCTATAGTTTTTCGTGCCTTCCAGTAGTAGCTACAACCAATGCTCGGTGCGTCAAGTTGAAGATTTCGGTTGTTATTGTTTTCCAGTGATTTTATGGGGCTGTGTTTTGTGGTGTAAATATTAGTGTAAATAGTTGATTTTTTTATTATTATTGACAGTTATTGATAGTTTTTCCAGTAATTGTAGGAGACTACTTAGTATCTTCGTGTTAGTTATAGTGTTGTAATTCATACGATTTAGTTTTATTCGAGTTCTTGTATAGTTTTTCGCTATGGGTAGAAAGGGTCATTTGCCTCTATCTGCTAAAAGGAAGAAACGGAGAATCGGACCTGGCTTGGAAAAATTCATAGAAGATAGAAGGTAAGAACAATTCAATCATGTATTGCAATACAGACTAGGCCTAGTTGATTGTGTGAAAACATTTGAGTTATGTTTCAAAGACTTTACTTACTTTATAACAAACAAAACTAATTTTGTTATCTCAAATATAAATCTCTTGGTTTACGAAAGCCAACATTATTTATGAAACAATAACAGTGTAAAAAATATTTTATATGTAAG